TGGTTGAGTGATAGCAGTTGAATAGAATAACATAGATCTTACGGTTTCAACAAATCAATAACATATTCTTCATCTTCCCTCTTCTCTCTCTATCTCTTGCTCCTCCATTTTCTCTATTTATCTTCCCTCTTCTCTCTATCCTTCTTCCCTCATTTTCAGCTTTTTTTTGTGTGTTTTTTCGAAAGAAACAGTTTGGAACCGTTAGGTAACGGTGCGTAACAGGCCGTTACGACTGTTACGGCACCGTTACGACTGCTACGGCAGTCACTACGGCTGACACACCTGTGAATCTCAATCACACTGCAAAAGCGGCCGTAACGGGTGGCGGTAACCGCCAAAACCGTTACGTAACGGCGTTACGTAACGGTTACGGCCGCTTTTTAAAACCTTGCACTGAGGTGATTTTCTGGTACCTTGTTTCGTCCCTCCTTTTCTTTCTGCCATTTTTGTCGATTTATTTGGTATACAATGTTGTACTCCTTAGAAGAGTATCCCGAGAATTACGGGCAGTTCACTCAAATGTGTGTAGATCGCTTTTTGACGTGGCAACTAGGACTGTGGGAAGAGAGCCGGCGGAGAGCTCCGGTGAAGTTTGTTCCGGTGTACGAAGATCAGAGGGCAAAAATATCAAAGCTAAGGTGTCTGAACAGAAGGGTTAGCAGAGGTAACAGATCCTGTAGAAGTGTTCGTATAAAAGATTTGGAGTTATTTATAAAAAATGAAAGGAATAGGAAGCAGCCATTACCGGACCCCCCTTGCGTACCGGAGGTCAAGGACACCGGCGGCCAGTGGATATAGGCGTAGTTACCGTAGTCGTGCAACTTTTAAGACCCAGTATGTTCGCAGACGGTACGTTCAGAATATTCCCCGATTTATTAAGAAGACTAAGAGGGGAGTAAGGAAATTACAGCTATACGATGAACACTTAAGGGACATTAAGTTTGATAATAAAGGCGTGTCGAGATTACTTAATGGTATTGAGTTGGGTAATAAGAGATCTGACCGTCAATCAGACAAGATCGTGGTTAAGGGTATCAAATTCATTGGTAATGTTCAATTGGGACAGGATGCTAAGGACGAAGCTGTGGTCCACCACGTGTTGTTTTTTGTCATCAGTGATAATAGTCCGTCAGACTCCGTCCCTACACCTGACAAGATATTTATTGAAGTTGGCGAGGGTAATCCTGAGACCTGGATTGTTGATCCTGACCAGTCCGACCGGTTTCGGATGCTAAAGAAAATGAGATTCAAGCTCGTTGGTGGCAAGGACAAAGAGTACGTTCGTCACGGGATAGAAGTTGTAGACCGGTTCTTCCCAGTTGATGTTTGGACGGACTACAAAGATACACTGTTGGGAAATGTTGGAAGCATTCAAAAGGGTGCCATATATTTAGTGGCTGCTACTGTTAGTGGAAAGGAATGCAAAATTACTTTAAGGAGTCAAATGTACTTTAAAACTGTTTAGAATTGTAATTTGATGTATTTTTATTTTTAATGTTCAGGTTAATGGAGGTGGACGATATAAAAACTGGGGTTGTTGAAGGTGTTTCGGCAAGTGATTTTAGTTGTATTGAACTTGCGTTGCCTAATTTATTTTCTCAATTTATTGAATGTGTTTTTAGAGTGTGTGGTTGATGATTTATATATGTTCATACATTATCAATGACTGAATGGGTAGCAAAACAAGCTTTATATGCAAAGCATCATACCAATAGAACCTGATGCGAACGCAATGTACGAGTGACAGAACTAGATACTGTATTAAAATATAAAAAAACCAATTCAAGTAAAATTATACAAGCAGTTATTTTCTTAATCGATAAGTCAAACAGAATGTTAGACCTATACCAGTATAATTTAGAAACTGACCTCTCTGGGTATGGGATACTCCTCTGATTCAAGCATTCGAACAACTTGGCTCATCTTGGGTCTCTTGTCTGAATCTGGGTCAACACATCTCAAAGCTGTCAGAAGGGCTCGTTTAAGAGCTCTTGTTGACGGCTTTGTTTCAATGTTTGGGTCCACCACTTCCTCTGAGCGCCTGCTTCCAACCATCATTTTCAGCCAATCAACCAGATTTACCTGCAAAACATTATATGGTTTATGTTCAACGAGACTACGAATAGATATCATGAACTACATTTTCTAAAAAGGGTCCATCAGATTACAATGTACACAAGACCTGCCTAGGAGCACATAAATGATTGAAAAAGAAAACTGCAATTAAAAATGAAGTAGAGCGAATCTGCAAAGAGCATTTATTAGATAAATTTACAAGCATATGGAACCTATGGGGCATAAGAAATGGATATATCCATAGAAACTTCTTAACATTACCTATAAAACAGATATACCCACGTCTGAAAGTACAAATATATGGAAGGATAAATCATAAACCATTTGAACAGTCTAATCTATTTCAGAGACTATACTATGAATCACATTAACGGTTCTATAAAAATGGTAAAACAAATCCATTTTAAATGATAACTAGTACGAAAGGAAAATTGTGTCTGGGAAGCCTTGAAACTACAGATATGTTGATGGATGTGCCAAAAAATATCATGGATGTTCTACTCTCTCTCTCTCTCTTGAAAGTACAAATATATGGAAGGATAAATCAATGTTATTAAAATGGATAAATCAATGTTTTCTTGAAGCCTTGGCGCATCAAGGCGCCAAGGTCTCCTGGGGCCTAGGCTCAAGGTACAAGGTGAAGCGCAGGCTTCACCAAAGCGAGGCGCACCTTGTACGGGAAAAAATAAATAATTTAATATAAGTAAATAATTTAGGGTTCAACATAAACAAAATGAAATGTTAAACATTTAGTGTTTTTTGGAGATTAGGATTTAGGACTAATTTTTCTTCTATCATTGATTTGGGGTTGAATGCCCAATGTATTGACATCTGTAATAAGAGTAGGGATCTTTTGTAACTGCACTATATTAAATCAATGGTTAGATTTTAAACAAAACCAATTAAGGCAACAATAAAAAAAAAAAAGCCCTCAAGACTCAAGTTTTGGGCCAATCAAGTGCCTTATCACAGTTGTCTGGTCTGGAACACTACAAGGCACAAACCTTGGGCCTGGACGGGACTTGGGCCTAGGCGCACGCCTAGGCGCGCCTTATTGAAGTCGCCTAGCGTGGAACACTACAAGGCGCAAACCTTGGGCCTGGATGGGACTTGGGCCTAGGAGCACGCCTAGGCGCGCCTTTAATAACACTGGGATAAATCATAAACCATTTGAACATTCTAATCTATTTTCAGAGACTAGTATGAATCACATTAACGGTTCTATAAAAATGGTAAAACAAATCCATTTTAAATGATAACTAGTACAAAAGGAAAATTGTGTCTGGGAAGCCTTGAAACTGCAGATATGTTGATGGACGCACCAAAAATATCATGAATGTTCTCTCTCTCTCTCTCTCCCCTTCCTTTTTTATTTTTGTTTTTTACAGTGATAGTATCCAAATAGCTGTCAACAGAAAAGTCTTAGTAACTAATGTTAAACAAAGGAATAAATCATCAAGAGTGGTGATAAAGCAAAATTACATTATAACATATATTGTTCTCAATAGATTATAATTTATAATGACAGCAAATCCAAATGTTGCCAGCTATGAAAAGTAATTTTTTAACCAAATTCAAACTATGTTAGTGCCTACAAACATTTTCCCAGCAGTGAGACATCCTTTATAACATTTAAGAGATTCTTGTATTGAATCTCTTCAGCTCCTTGTTTTCTGTCTTTAGCACACTTATCTTCTGCTCGCGCATCCATACATGCGTTGGAGCAGAGCCAGCTGGGAGTTTAACTGTTGAACTCATTTGTCCTACTCTGCAGCCGGTTCGACAAATTTGTAACCGCAGTCATGGTTTCCACACATGACTTCAATGTATACTGATTGGCCTCCACATCGACTGCACTGCCATTCTTTGCTCCACAGACCGCATAGGAAAGTTCAACGGAGGCAAACTCCGGGGGCGCTTGTGAGGTTCCAGTGCCACCGCACCAGTTATCTCTCTTGTTGACTCGTTGAGATCGGGAAAAAGAGTGAGCAGACCACGCGGACGAAGAGGCCATATTCTGGGTAGCTGAACGGGAAGAAGAAAGCCGTGTTTTTGGGTTTGCTGAGGTGTCAGAGAAGGGTTTGTTACAGAATGTTACAGAGAACGAAGAGGTTCAACTGGTTGTTATGCTTCAAGCCTCAGACTTCGCTTTGGTTTATTAAAAGACAGAGACGACGAGGCCGATACGCGCTCTGTCAATCACGTGCATCGTGTGCGTTGTCAGGCGCCCCTTTTGATGGCTCGACGCTTCTGTCGGGCACGCTTTTTGAAGAAGTTGCGCGCCTTTTGATGGCACGCCTTTTTAGGATGGCACGCCTTTTGATGGCCCGCCTTTTTGAAAGTTAGCACACCTCTTTGAGGGATTTTGCGACTTTTTAAGGGTCGACAAGACTCTGTAAACTGTCCCGACATTGATTCCGGTTAGCTCCTTCATGGGTCGACAAGACTCTGTTAAACTGTCCCGACATAGATTCCGGTTAGTTTCTACAACGGTCCGACAAGACTCTGTAAACTGTCCCGGACATTGATTCGGTTAGCTCCTTCATGGTCCGACAAGACTCTTAAACTGTCCCGACATTGATTCCGGTTAGCTCCTTCATGCGGTCCTGCTACAACGGTCCGACATGACCCATAAACTGTCTTCTACACTCGGTCTGACACCGACCCTACTAGCTGTCGTTCTACCACGTTATGACACCCCCATACAGTGTCATCTTACAACGTTATGACAACCACCAACAGTGTCCTCTACAACGTTATGACACCACCATACAGTGTCTCCGCCTCCTTTTTATGTATTTTCTTATTTTGTTACTCTCTCCAAACTCAAGTGGTTAGTTTCTCATCTCCCTTGAGTTTGCGGGGGCTGTTAAAATTTACCATCACCTACCACCACTTACTCCTCACCTACTCCCTCACCTACTACACTCACCCTCTCCTATATAATGAGTCACTCACCATTTGTAATATACACAACAAGACATCAATCAATTCATCAATCAATAATACATAAATTCTTACAGAATTGTAAATAATTGATTACCTCTTGCGCCAGCACGACCATAGTCCACGCGATCTCGTCCTGTAATGGCTTCCAGAAGACAACACCAAAAGCTATAAACATCACTCTTTCATTCAAAAGGCCGCTATTTGCATATTCGGGAGCCACATATCTGCAAATTTAGGAAAGCAAAAGAACATGAAATATTGATAGTGCAATAATTATAGAGAATATTCACAAATTCCACCAATAAGAGACAAGAAAGAACCAAAGCAAAAAATATATAAAAAAGAAAGGTGACTCAATTGGGATTGCAACTTAGCATATGCTGGAAGGAATATGAAAGAAAATACTAACCAAAGGTTCCATAACCCTATTGTGATGTGACTTTTTCCGGCACCAAGTAGCCTGGCCAGGCCAAAATCAGAAACCTTGCATGAAGTCATTAACAATCAATATATGGCTTGACTTAATATCTCGGTGCACCACTTTGGCTCGATTGCTTCATGCAAGTAGCCAAGACTGCAAAAAAATCAGACAGATATACTAAGAGCTACAATGATGGAAATAAAAGATTACAAATCAATTAACTACGCTTTAGCCGTGCCAAGGAGAACTTCATCCTGGCCTCCCATGGTAAGATGTCCAGTTGGGGCATAGCTCGCATAACATTGTTCCAAGTTGCCATTGTTGACGTATTCGTAGACTAACAACCTGAAAATATTTAAATATGTAGACAAATTCTGTTTCTTATTTTATTCTTACATTTCATAATGCTCCGTTTGTTCTCGCGTGGAATACATTATCTACGAAAACGTTTTCCCTGCATTTTTTTAGTATTGACATTGATGAAAATGAAAAGTCGATGCGAAAACAAGCTATTTGGGCGGAAAAACATTCTATACTTTTCGATGCGTGGAAATGTTTTTTCAAACTATAAGTCTTCACCAATGCTAGCACCAGCATCATCACACTCCACCAACCCACACCACCACCACAACCACGCCAGCCCCACAACCACAACCACAACCACCGTATACCCTCAACCACACCTACC